TGTGAAAAAGATCTCAAGGAGAATGACATTAACACCATCATGGAATTAAAAAAAAAAAAAAAACAAAAATCGAATGATACACTTATATAAAATTATATTAATATAAAATTAGATAACTAATTTTTAAAAATTAAAAAAATTAATTAGTTATTTATTAAAATATATATAGATTGTTTTTCATAAAATATCATCTTTAATTTATTTGCGCTTTCACCTTTTCCTTTCTTTTTTATGGAAACCCCCTTATTCATATGTGCAATCAAAATGATTAGTTTTAAAATATATATAAATTAAAGATATAAAATGGGTTGAGATGAGCAAATTAATCCTAATTAACTTTTATATTTTGCATTGGAGAGAGTATATAATTATAAACTAAAATCATATTAAAAAAAAATCTAACGTAGAGTATACAGTACACCACATTCAATTATAAGTTTTAGAAATATTAATTACAAATTTATCATAAAACGTGCACATTCTATAATCTTAAAACTTTATTTACAAACCTTAAAAAAATGAAAACCATAATAATTCATCCGGTCCTAAATATAAGATCCCTTTTATAGTGTAATTTCACAACAAAATGTGTCTTATATTTAGAACCGGAGGAGTATAAATTGTTGAAATTGTGTTGGAAATTACTAGCAATCCAATTTCATTACCTAAAAAGTTGATTAGATGATCTTTTTATTTTTCTCAACTAAAATTTTGGAATTTATGAATGATTTTTTTTAGTCACAAAGTTTACACAACTTATATATATATATCATATAAAAATTATAAAGCTATTTCATTTAAAATATATCTTTAAAATGCACCTCCATTCATTTTTTTCCCTTCACTTCTTAAGAGGTAAAAAAGTCTTTCATTGTACCAGAAGGATCATTAATGTGGGATTGTACTGAATCTCTCTTGCCCATGAAATCCTCCTCCCATTGATTCATTGACTATGTTTTGATAATCTGATGCCCAAAAAAAAAAAAACAGAGTTCATTTTAGTACTTCTCTAAAATAATAAACAAAGGCGCTTTACTCGTCATCTTCAAATAAATTACTCACTTCCTAAATTCTAATGAATCCTAACCACAACCATTAACCAACAACACAGAATTCCATGCTTAACAAGGAATTCCAATCCTTGCCTATGAAAAATTCCAAGTCTTGACCTAAGTTAATTTAGCTACCTACTTGAGTTAACTTGCCATGCCATGCATTTAATACTTGTCTTTGTACCAGTAATCAGAGTCATCATTCTTAACTTCATACAAGAAATTTAGAGTAGTCTTGACCCAACTTCCTTCTATCTTTTCATCAGCTAGAGCCAACATACACACATGCATTTCCCACCCCAAAGAAGACACTAAAAAAGAGGTAGCCAGCTGGCAAACAACTAAGCAGAGATTAAGATCATCACTGATCCTCTTCCATTATATAATTCACACCAACCTGCCATGTTTCTTCTTCATCTCTGCACTAAACATGGCATTATGGCAGCAAAAGCATGTTCTCTCAGTTCTGATGATAATTCTTTGCCTAGTACTTTGTGTTTGTTCTCATGAAAGGCATTATTATACCGCTCCAAGTGTCACTCCTTTAACGGATTCTTTTCCTCATGTTCTAGTTGATCTTTGGTTTTCTAAATCCTTTGGTGCCTCAAATATCAAGTTTCTGAATAATGGGTCCATGGCCACTCTGGCTCTGGACAAAACTTCAGGTTACAATCATGGCTTGCTCAAATCAATGCATAAAGTTTTAATCTTTGAGAGCTTTTTGTGATACCCATTTGAGTTCCTGTTGTTTCTCAGGCTCTGGTGTGGTCTCGCGAACCAGATACTACTATGGATTCTTCAGCGCTGCCATCAAGTTACCCGCTGGTCAGTCATCTGGAGTTGTAGTAGCCTTCTATGTAAGCTTCTTCTCTAATCTCTCTAATAATTTCATCTTTGAAATGTTTATGAGACTATAGCTTCTGAAGAATTAACAAGAGGAAATCTCAGCTGTCGAATGCAGATGTGTTCCCTCACAACCATGATGAGATAGACATTGAACTGCTTGGTCATGACAAGAGAAACGACTGGGTCATTCAGACAAATATATATGCCAATGGGAGTGTCAGCACAGGAAGAGAAGAGAAGTTCTATCTCTGGTTTGACCCAACACAGCAGTATCACCATTACAGCATACTTTGGAACAACTATCACACCGTGTAAGGCAAATCATGTTTCAACCTTAAAAGACAGGAGAAAATGTTAAATTTACTCTGAGTACCTAGATTCTTACTAAAGTTTTCTCTTAATTCGGTTATGTTTTCAATGAAAGTCCATCACTATATTGCTAGATTTTGCTGACATGACCAACCATGTGCCCGTTAAGCATTAAATATTCAGATACCAAATAATCAAATTTTTAGTTTCAATCATCCATATTAGAGTGACAATATAATAAATGACTAGCCATGTTAATTGAATTTTAACAGTATTGATAGGATTTTAATGAGTGATTTTTTCCCAAGACTATAAAAGACTCAAGTACAAGCTTTTAAACTTGAGAAGCAGAACTAAAACTTCAGCAAAATTTTGAAAACAATTTTGATATAACCAGAACTAGACATGTTTTTTCATGCATTATGGGAATTTGAAAAATGAGTCGCACTATTTTTTGGTTTGTGAATAGCGCAACTTGCTATAGAACTTATATATTTATCTTGATGTCTCTGAATCTTTTAGTTTCTTGGTGGACAACATACCAGTGAGGGAGTTCACACACGGCAGCAAATACCCTTCTATATACCCATCAAAGCCAATGTCAGTGCATGCCACAATATGGGATGGTTCAAAATGGGCCACTCATGGAGGAAAATACCCAGTTAATTATAAGTATGGTCCTTTTGTTGTTTCATTTACAGAAATGGAACTCACTGGCTGCAAATCAAATCCCACAGAATCCACAGTGCCTTCTTGTGGCGAGGTCATTTCTTCAAGCTCATTGGACCCAGTTAATGGACCAGAGTTTACAAAGCTGTCACAGCAGCAGATTGAAGCCATGGACTGGGCAAGAAGGAAATTAATGTTTTACTCTTACTGTAATGACAGACCCAGGTTCAAAGTTTTACCACCAGAATGCCACTAAGGTGCATAAGCTATTTTGAAATGTTTACTTTTTTTTCTGTCATTGTTTTTTCCCCTCTCTATAATGGGGAAGCATGAGGAATGTTGTAATTCTATTTTATGGGTCAAGAATGGGTATTAAACTGATAACACAGTAAAAAGTCAATTCGAAAGGAAGCATTTTTATTTATGTGTCTGCTCTAATTCATCAAGTAATGTGCATGCTAAGTATTTATGATGAAAAATGCTGCACGATGCAAGCATCAATTGAAGTATATCTTCAATAATATGTATGTCTCCCAAGTAATATGAAAGTACTGCTCTTTTTCACCCCATAACTTCCACTCTTCATTGTTTTTTTTTTAATAAGCTTTCAAGTAGTTAGGAAATTAATGAGTTTGAATCACCAAAGTTGCAGGAGTTATTCTACTTACCATTAATTTACCATTAAAGAGAAACGGGTGATTTCTTTTTGTTAGACAAGAGAGAGGAAAAAATAAATATAAATAATGCTACTTGTTATAAGTTTTATTAGATGCATTCAGCTAAGTTACTGACTTGTGAATTATACAGCTTATTAGAGGTCTTATATGACAGATTAATTGTTGTCTTGTATGAACTTGACTAGAGAATAGTGAAAAGGGGAACATAATATAAAGATGTACAATCAAAGAATAATGCAAAGTGCCTGATCTAGCTCAGCATATCCACACATGTACAGCAAAAAGAGATTTCCCACTTAATTCTAAAGTCACAAAGCTTGAAACTAAAGTATCAAATTCAGAAGAAAAAAAAAAGAATATTTTATTGTCATGAAAAATAGTAGGTCTATATAGCATGCATTTTGGTCTTTGACCATGTTATATTTTAAAATGTCATCAATCTTGCCCTCACAGGTGACAATCTATGACAGGATTTTATAAACAAATGATGGCATGTCAAAAATATATCATCAATATAAAATATGTAGAAAAATATATTAAAAAAATATAGTTAAATTTCAATTATGGTGAAGATAATATTCTTATTTATCAAATTCAGTTGACCTAGGAATAATACTTTAGAAAAGGAAAAAAATGCCTATATTCTGTGATTGGTTAATTGTCTGAACAAAAGAATAATATCATTTTTAGAATATTGTTTGACTATTGATTCTCAGTAGAACTTTTATGCTGGAAAAATAAAGTGATTGCCTTTTAATAAATCTGAAGGAATGATATTAAGTTATCAACGCCTTTTTAAAACAAGGTTTTTTTTTTTTGGCTGGGTACAAATATTCTCTTGGAGGTAATCATACTTGAAACATTATTAGTCACTAAATGAAAAAGATTCATCAAGTTGTGAGAAATAGGCTCCTTAAGATAATCATATTTAAGACATTGTTAGTCGCTAAATGAAAACGATTCATCCATACCAGCTGTGAGAAATAAGCTCCTTCCATAGTTGTTTTTCTAAAACAAGGTTGAGTGGGCCATGAATGAACTTAATGTAGAAGCCTTGGACTTGTTAGGAGAAGAAAAGGCAAGTGAAACGTAAGATCTAAGTCATCACTTGAGCATCTCGTTCAATTTGTAAATTCTTATCTAAAGCTATAATAGATGCTACCTTTTTTGCGAATTTGAACTAAAATGAAATTATGGATCAAAAGTAGAAAGTTAGAAAAAAAATTTGGGATTAAAAATAATGTTTGACAAAAAATTTTCTTTTCAAATGACATCTTTCTAAAATTTAAATATTTAATCAACCCTATTTAGATTTGTTAGGTCCTTTATGGGTGAGAATATCAAATGAGGCTTTTTGCTAAATTAATTAGAACTTGATTTATTTTCTGGTATTGTAACTATATAAGAAGATTTAATAATAGTAAATCCAAATCATATATTATCTTATTAACTAAGATATTGGGAAGACTGTAGTAAATCTATCATAATATATTACTCCTCCGGTCTTTAATGTATGTAGAGCTTAATTAACTAATTTGAGTATATCAAATATGTTAGTTAAATTAGTTAATATAATATGTTTTTTTCTAAAACACTTTAATCATCTTCTTTAATTCCTTTCATCCCTCCCTTCCTCCCTCACTTGATTATTATTGAAAAAATATCAATAGGGTTAATATAAAAAAAATTTGATAAACATGTGAAATATGTCATACATTTAAGCATCCGAGTAATTGATAAGTATCATGGAATGTCTTATTTTCAGAAAATGCAAATATTTTACCTTCCTAAAATATTCTCTCTCTATAAATACAATGTCCGCCTATGAATACACAGTCCAACCTTCGAGTTTTCAGGTTATCTATCTAGTCCCTCTTTCTTCAATGAAGAACTCAGTTTTTTTCCCCCCAAAAAAACAATTGAAGTTGAATTTTGCATGCAAATAAAGTTCTTAAACTTTGAACTATTTGCAAATAAATAATGAACAAAACTAATAGGATAAGAGTTATCAATATAAATGTAAACTTTCAAGGTCCATGAATTTTAAGGATTGCGAAGATTATTTATATATGACATAAAATTCAGAAGGATTTTATATAATTTAGCCTATATGGCTTGCTGCAATTTTTGCTAATATTAATATTATTCTTGGCATCAAATTGCTTTACACTGGGAAGCCATAGTGGTTTTTAACTAATGTGAATGTAGATGGTAAGCATCAAGAGACCCTGATATTAAAATTTTCGCCATATATTTTTACTTTTTCTTGTTGCTTTGTTTTTAAGAAAATCTTTTATCTTTATAATTTTAACTGGACTGTAACTTAATCTTTTTATTTTAACTTGGTGTACGCAGCACTCATAGTTTTGGCTGTTTCGTCATCCACACTCTATACAACTTAGTATCTATAGTTTAAAAGTTTTAAAAATTAGTTCTTGTATTTTAAAAAAAATAAAATTATGTATTTTATGAAATTTAGGGACTTAAAGTATAAATGATTAAGATTATAAATTTGTAAATTAAAATTTAGGAATCGAATTAAGTTAAAGGTATAAATATTAAGGTGCATCAAGTTAAAAGTAGGGCCTAAATTATAATTAGGTAAAAATTTTAAGAAAAACATTTAGGGACAATGACAAAAAAAACAGCTGGAATTTTGTAAATGCCAAATAAGAAATGTTAACAAAAATTTATTGTCATTTACAATTTCAGATTATCAATACCAAATAAAACTATGTTATCAAACCTAATTTGAGATTTATAATTTTCAGTTTTTTTTTCCTGTCATTCTCCTAAAGATCTATATATTTTAAATATTTATACCATTTCGTTTTGGATCCGTCCCTGACCACAAAAACGAGGGAACCCAGATGGTGCAAAATGCAAATTGCGAAGAGCACCAAATCCCAAAGGAAAACCCTAATCGAGAGCTCTATCATTTTCCTTGTACTTGGCAAAAAGTAACACGTAACATGCATTTCTTAAGGCTTTGTTTGGATATAAAATTTTCTTCCCTTTCATTCCTCGCCTCAATTCCCGCACCAATCAAACGCTTTCCCTTCAAAGCAGATTCTTTTACTTTCCAACGTACCCCACACAGTCTTTATGTGATTCTTTTTTTCCAACTCGCTTCATATTACACCATGCCAAGAGTGTTGGGTCGTCCCTTGTAGTGAAGTCTATCAAAATCATTGCTTTTGGAGTTCCAAAGGCTCAATAATTGAGATTTTCTTTGACACAGCTAGGTGGGGAAGCCATGGCTGAAGAGAGTGTCGTTGAGTCTTGCGATTTGCCTGCGAAGAGGCAGAGGGAAGACGAAGAGAATGGGGTCTCTGCTTCTACCGTTTCCATGGAGACAGACATGAATGGTGGCAAGCATCCTGATTTTATGTCTTCAGTGATTCCTGGCTGGTTCTCCGAAGTTAGCTCAATGTGGCCGGGTTAGTTCTCTCTCAAAACCCTTTATATGATGTTTTCAGAAGCTGCCTCCTTTCCCCTGTTTGGTTGCTAATACAAGAACACGTTACCATTCTTTCTCATATGAGGATACGAAGATAGACCATTAATCATTGATAATTGATATTAATCATTAATAATAATTCCTGGTTCCATTTCTTGTAGATTCGTGCCTGCGCGAAAGCACACACTATAGTTTTAGGTGATTTAGTTGATTACTTGTTTTGGTGTCAGTTGGCCAGGACTTTTCTCTTTTTACGGAAGCTGTTTGCTTTTCTTGATTTCTGTCTATTTTGCATCATTTGCTTTTCCCTAATATGATAATTAAGCATTTTTTAGGATTGATAATAATTGACTGTCTGAATGTGCCCGAAAGTATAACCACCGCTAGCGAGTCTTCAATAATGTCCCCCTAATTGCTACTACAGGCAAGTTGTTTTTAATGGTTGTCATGTTTTATACTTACATTTGCAAGTTTGATTTCTCCCTTATCTGCTCACCAGATTCGCTGAGCACATTTTTTTTTTGTTTGTTGCTCTGATTTTGATGTCTGCACATATGAGAGCCGCGGTTCGGCTTGGTACCTTGCACCAGAAAGAAGTTAATTTTTGGGTAGATGCAACTGTTATCACTTCTTTCTGTGCTCATGAAATATATGCATTGTCGCATACTATAAAAAAGAAAGAATTTTATTACTCTCTGTAATTTTGTCCTATGCACCAATGAAGGACTATTTCCTTTGCTCAGGCGTCTATACAAGTATACATAATTTCTGTTAGCGACTGTCGTACGTTAATTGTTTTGTCTTCTGTGAAATGAATATCTCTGCATCTTACAGCCGTAGTTTGGCAAGGTCAGAGCATTACTGATACACTGGAGATGTAAGCCAGATCTTATGGATCTACCTTTGTGATTATATTTATGGTTTGGAACTTGGTTGTTATTTTGCAGGAGAGGCACACTCTTTAAAAGTTGAAAAGATCCTATTCCAAGGGAAGTCTGATTACCAGAATGTGATGGTCTTCCAGGTACAGGAGGCTTCAGTTTCAGCATATTAAGTTATTTTTTCTTTATACCATTTTCACGGCCCTTTCTCTATTTACAATGCAATGCTGTCAATTTTTTCACAGTCATCATCATACGGAAAGGTTCTTGTTTTGGATGGTGTGATTCAGCTCACTGAAAGAGATGAATGTGCATACCAGGAAATGATCACACATCTTCCTCTATGCTCCATTCCAAATCCCAAAAAGGTCCTCAGATAATTCCAAAATTCTACTATATGTATTGTTTACATTTTTTTTCTCTGTTACCTAACATTTGTTGGTTGACAAGTCGCTCAAAGTACTGTGAAGTAGTATATGAATTCATCCCGAAGCTTAGAAGAATTGGTAATGAGCATATCTTATTGATCTAACCATGGCATAATATATGCAGCACCATTCGTTATATTTAGATTGGCAACATTAGTTTCATTTCCTATTGATTTGTGCCTGAGTTGACCATAGCCTTTCACAGATAGTTTGCTGAATGGCAATAGTTTGAGTTGAGGCTAACACTATGGAATTAGGGGAAACATCTAATTTATGGCTGGCCAGAACCAGTCTTGGTTTTGTTTTAAAACAAAATTTGAGGGATATAATGAACATAGACATGTTTGAAGTCAAATAGGGATACATTTTGCTGTTGGGGAATGATTAGCTGGTTATATTGTTTTAGTTATTATTTTCCTCATTGCAATTTTCTTTCTTAGGTTTTGGTTATTGGTGGGGGAGATGGTGGAGTCTTGCGGGAAGTTGCACGGCATTCTTCTGTTGAGAAGATAGACATTTGCGAAATTGACAAAATGGTTGTTGATGTGAGTAACGACTCAGGCCTCTACTCTATTTTTTCATGCATTACTTCACTCATCCGTGTATTTTCTCAGCTGAGTGGTAATTTACTGAAGAAATATTACTTATTACATGCTGATTCTTTTTTACTTTGTCTCGAAATGATTATATTGTTGAGCTCAGTGGCTTCTGGCAGCTGCATGCTAAGTGTTAAATTAAGCTCATAATTACAGGTTTCCAAACAATTTTTCCCTGAAGTAGCTGTAGGGTTTGATGATCCACGTGTAACACTTCATATTGGTGATGGTATGATCATCTTCGTATTATTTTTCATAAATACTTGCTCTTTTTGGAGAATTCATCTCATTGTCACTTGTCTCAATGGTTTAGGAGTTGCCTTTTTGAAAGATGTTCCTACAGGAACTTATGATGCAGTTATAGTTGACTCATCTGACCCTATAGGTATGTGTGTCCTCTAAAATTTTGGTTCGTCAATGGCAATTTAATTTATTATCTAAACATATGAGATATTATCCAGGTCCTGCTCAGGAGCTTTTTGAGAAACCCTTTTTTGAGTTGGTTGCGAAGGCTCTTCGTCCTGGAGGAGTTGTGAGCACTCAGGCTGAAAGTATATGGCTTCATATGCATATTATTGAGGGCATTGTTGCCAATTGTCGCCAGATATTTAAAGGCTCTGTTGAATATGCTTGGACTTCAGTTCCCACATACCCAAGGTATTGTTATAATTTTTGTTTTGACTGAACTATTGTGAGTCCTTCAGAGATGTATGAGCCACCAATATATCCCTTAAAATTCAATTACCATCATTTTAACTACAATTGTTTTTAATATGGTAATGTCTTGAGCTCTTCCCAATCATCAATTCAAATTCATGACAGAATGATATCGAAGTAGAATGATATGGTTTTTTTTTTTTTTTTTGGTAAAAAAAAATGATATGGTTATTTTGTTTCGAGTACTGATGATGGAGAATGCATTTTTTAGGGACCCAAGTGATAAGTTTACTCTTTACTATTCTTCTAGGAAAAGGTCATTCTAAAATTGACTTGTCTCAATCTGTATGCTGCCTTGCAGGAGAACTCTGTTTTAATAACTTGAAAATGAGTATCCACGCTGATGTTGCTTTTATTGTTCCTTTTCAGTGGGGTAATTGGTTTTATGCTTTGCTCAACCGAAGGACCTCCTGTCGATTTCAAGCGTCCAGTGAACCCCATAGATGCTAATGATAATCAGAAATCAGTAAGGCCGCTCAAGTTTTACAACTCTGAGGTCTGCTTCTGTTTCAACCATTTTCTCTTATATTCAAATTGGTACCTTTTGACAGTCTTTATTCATAAGTCCTCTCGTTTCTATTCAGATTCATGCAGCGGCATTTTGCCTGCCATCGTTTGCCAGGAGAGCGATCGATTCTACAGCAAATTGAGAATATTTTCCAGATTCTGGAGGAGCATGTTAACTGTTGCAGAAAGCTACCTTCCCTTTCTTACTAGAGTGGTTTGCCTATCAATGAATCACCAAATAATTTAGGACTCGAATTCAACATCAGCTAGTAAGACTTATGCAGAGGATACTTGGAATGAACTAACCTATGTTTCTTTATGAAAAAAATGATTGGTGATGTTGGAATTAGTTGAGCTATTAATAAACCTTCTCGTTTCATGCCAATTGTTCACCTTCTTGTTCAAATAAGAATGCATTCTTATGATTTGCTATCTGTCTTGCTTGCTACTGGCTTATGAACGATGTGGTTAGTCAATTTTTGTATTCTGCTTATTATCTATCAGTCTGATTTCTTGAGAAAAACAAATTCGTCTTGCTTTCACTTAGATAGTTCTGTGGTAAAACTTACGAATCTCATCGTAGACTTCTCCCATAAAATGATAGATAAACTGAACTAATTATTAAACAAAGGGAAGATTTATACGCAGTCTGTTATATCTGTAATCAAAACAAAACCAATTTATGGTTCACCAGTTTAATCATCCACCTTTTATGGTATTATAGAAAATCATGCACTTGTCATATTTGATTATTCTAATATTTAAGTATATAAAAAAGCTACATATAAATATAGCCTTAAACGTGTCAGCAAATCAAACATGGATTTGAACCTTTGTAATTCAAAACACACACACACACACAAAAACTCAGAGATTTGGTTTGGCCTGTTTATATTGTTTAAACCAATCATACAAACAAAGTTTTACATACCAATACCACATGCATCTGGGAACGGCAGATAGAAAGCAAACACAACTACTCTTGAAGCCTTCATGGGATGAGCAGGTTGAAATTTGATAAGAAACAACTGATGTTTTATGATATATATGTATACACATAGATATTTCAGATTATTTATAACAATAGAGATAAATATAACTCCTTACTCAACTAGATGAGAGTAATTACTAATCTCTTTCTCAAGCTTGATTGCCAGTAGCCCAATCTTAGTTCTTATATCAAATAAACTGCACCATTCACTTTGTGGCCACCAATTAGTTCTTTCATTCATGAACAGCTTCAGTGTCTTTGCCCAGTTCCTCATCAACCTTCTTCTTCACTTTCCTTTCCTTGCACTCATGGAAATAGATCATACAGGCCACCCATTTCAGCAGATTCACCACACAGAACAATCCTGCCTGTACTATGATTCCATTCCCCTCTTTGTAGCATCCTATGTACAGGCATGGAATCCTTAAAAATTGTCCCCAGGCAAAGAAAAAAAGCATCAGAAACAGCCCTCTCCTCTGACAGCCTCTGTTGAAATAACCAGAAAGTACTAACGCATCAATCCCATGAATCCCTTCCAATACTGAGATCACAATACTCATGTTCCACGTAGCACTCCATTCTAAATACATTCCTAACAGTTTTGCAAAACCCAGACTGCAAATTACTGCGAATAGCCCATAGAAACTGACATATCTCAACACAACTAAGTAGATGGTGACTATAAATAGTAATCCAAGCATATGACAGTTAGTTAAGAACTGCACAAATATGGAAGTTATAAACGTGCCTCCCAAGTTGGTTGTGTCAATGCATTTCTGAAACATGTCCTTGAGATTCATATGCTTCTCTCCTGAACGTAGCTTTGATGCCAAATCAATAGTAACAATTGCAGAGCAGAGATCTAAGACATGGAGAGGCACCAAGTAGATTAATCCGAGTTGAATCAGCTTAAGGACATAATTTTTACTGAATCTTCCAAGGATTTCGTCTGGATACGAACGATGATAATATCGCGAGTAATCAGGTGGTATGTTGAGAATGTCTGAGGTTTCAGCTAGAGTTTCTTGGAGGAAGGTTTCGAAGTAAACCATGAAACAGAAGAGTGGAAGCGAACAGAGGAAGGTGAAGATGATGAAGTTGATGTTCTTAAGAAAGATTAAGCCAACAGCTTCCTTTAGGATATCGAAGACCTCAAGCTCCTTCTTCTTCTGCTTCTTATCCTGCTGCATAACTTGTTTGTTTTCACTCTCCATATCTCTCTCAGATTTCAAATTCCAAAACCCAACTTCTGATGATGTTCTAAGAAACCAAGCTTAATGCTAAGTTCAGATTCACACAAACGACTATCTTCCCTTGTTTCTTCTTTTTTGGGGCAACACTTGAGTTGACTTGAGAAATCAGATTTGAGGCAAAGACTTGGTCTTTTTCCTTGCATGTGGTTATGACTTGGGCATAAATTGGCGTCACAAACGAGCCCAAAACTGAAAGTTCTGAACGCTGGCCCCTAATCTAGTCATTATTTTCATGTACGTTGACTCTGTACATTATTTGACTTATGAAGCGGTTGGTGTGAATTATTCAATGATAAGGGATGCACTATTTTATTCTTATTTTTGTTTAAGTCTATCCTTCTACAGTATTTTAAAAAAATCAGATTCATTTTTTTGGTTTTACTTCTGTTTAGTTCAGTTTGATTTTAATCTATGTTTGCATATTTTTATGTCTCCATATTTTAAAATCTTCAAGTTTAGGCATATTTGTTCTATATTTGTTCAACCCAAAATTATATGAAATGTTCAAAATTATAACTCTATAATAAATAATTAATCTCAAGTTACTAGTTGTTCTTAGTAATAATCAATTTAAGCACTTGTATAGAAACTATATATTTTTTCCCATGCAGCATAATAACCTGGTAGGAACTTTTTTTCATTATTGATTTGAAGAGAATTTTAGGTGAGAAATTAAACATTTAAATTCAAACAGAAAACTAACATAGATAAGAGATAGAAATAAAGAGATAAAACTGAAAAAATGATCCAATAAAAATATGCATAGAATTTAATACGAGCTGCACGTTTGCTAAACAATTTATATTTTAAATTGATCTATCTATTGAATTAAGAGTACAGACACTACACCAAATAAAAGAGAGAATATATCATAAAGAGATGAGTAAGTTCAATGAAGACACTTAAATTTAAAACATTAATTAATCTGTAAGTCTTTATAGTTTCAACTAATTTTAAATCAGATCCTTATAGTTTTTTACTTTTTTATTAGGTCCTTATACTTTTACTTGTTTTTAATTAGGTCCTTACATTTGTTTTTCTTTTTATCAAGTCTTTATAAGTTTACCTTATTTTTAATTAAGTCCCTGAATTTTTTATTCTTTATTTTATAAATTCTAATAGTACTATTCTATAAACATAAAATAGTATATATTATTTAATATTAGTTTATAAAGAATAATATTCTAAAAATAATGAATTATTATAATAATTTTATTTTTTTCAACAAAAAAATTAATTGTTCCAAAAAATTTTCCTGAATTAATTATTTGTATTACTTTTTTTATTATCTAATTATTAATTTAATTTAATTATTAATATTTTATATTTCAGTATTAATCTATTTAATTAAGTCTATATTTAATTAATAAATAAAAATTAAAACTACATGGACCTTATTAAAAATTTAGTGAAATTATAAGGACTTAATAAAAAGAAAAGTGAGTGCAACGACCTAATTAAAAACAAATAAAAGTATAAGAACCTAATAAAAAAAAACTATAAGGATCTAATTCAAAATTGATTGAAATTATAAGAACTTGTAGATTAAATAATGAAAACATTATGAATTATTACTTATAGCATGACCTCAATTCACAGATGCTGCTCAAAAGAAAACGCAAGTCCAAGTAACAAATTTTTTTATATGGCTATCTAACTAGGTTAGATTCGAGCATTGTCTAGTTCAATTACTAGTAGTTCTCCTAAAGGTATTTTCTGCCTTTTTATATAACTAATCTGATTGGATCATATCCAAGCATGATCGGGCTTAATTAGAAGTAGTTGTTTTAAAAATGTTTTCTTCATTCACACAGCTCAAACTCGAAACGTCGTGCTTAAGCTATCAAAACCATGGATGAGTTAATCATGCTTACATGTGAGTCTCTTGCCGCATAAGTAATGTACCTTTCCTCCGTGACCTTCTCAAAGGTAAGTTAAAAACATATTAATAAATTTAATAACTAATAATTTAAAATCCATCATAATTTCTGAGTTAGTCAGAACTGTGATGGGGAACCAACTGACTATTAAAAGGATTGCAAATTGAGTCTTACTTAACGGGCTAATTTGTGAGTCGTTATTATCTAAACCCAACTTCTGAGTCAAGATTTACGCAAACTGGTATCTTCCCCGTTTCTTGTCATTATTACATTATATCCATTTCATTTTGATAATGCCAAGAATTTAAGATAATCACAGCCAAAGAGAAGTGAGATAACTCTGTGTACGGCAAACAAAAGTGATGAAATTGAATCGGTGATGTAATTATTATCTTTTTGATAAACAAAACAAAACGTCAGTCTATTCTTTTTTTTTTTTTTGGGAGTATAAAGAGAATGTACTGCTAAGATATGTACAAGAAGTTCAGGCTAAACATACAGGCAATTAGTTGGAGCTAGCAACAGCATCTAAGAGCCTCCTGGCATTAGAGGTGTGAATAACAAAAGATTGGACAAGAACAAAGATGTTTTCTTGGGAAAAGGGATCATCAGCAAATATGCGCTTGTTCCAGTTGTCCCAAAGTTTCCAACATAGCATGCCAAAAGTGAGCCACCAATGAGTGCCCATGCATCGAGGATTGAGATTCCGAAGTAGCCAGTCTTCAAAAGGTTTGGAGAAGAATTCCTGGGTTTTGTCATGGGGTGTTAATTGCAGCCAACATGCCTGTACTGTGGGACAAAAACGAAGAATATGGCTCAAATCACAAGTTCCTTCCATGGCTATGCCTCTTCTCAATCGCTCTGAATTAGAAAGGAGTCTATTCTTCTTGGCTAGCCAAAGAAAAGTGTGAATCCTTTGAACCCCAGGCCTCTTCCAGATCCAATTCCAGCATTTTCCGTGAATTTCATAATCAAATTGGTGATTGGCTTGATACACCCAATGAACTGTGAAGGCTCCATTGGCGGTTAGGTTCCAGTAGCATAAGTCGTCTAACTGAGGCTCTTAAGGGGGACCAGTTGCAGCGATTTGTAAATTCAGGCTTGTTGGAAGCAGGTGTTGGAATTTAGTCCGGTCCCATTCTCCCTAGCTAGTAATGTAATCAATCGTTGATTGTCTTGTTAAGTTCGGTCTCTGATACATCTGTGAAAGTAAGGTATTTGAGAGGACCCACTTCACCAACTCAATAATCAAGCTAGAATCTAGTCGTCTTACCATTCCCAATATGCTAAGTGATATTTAGTTCAGTGTCAGTCTATTCCCTTGTGTGTATCACTATATACATTTGGTTCAGTTCAATCCCATGCACGTTTGTAATATAGGTTTATCTATCTATCTGTGCGTACTACATACATACATAATCTTCAAGTTTAGGTAGTCTATCTATATTTTTTTGACCCAAAAATTTGCAAAACAATCATAAAAGGTTCAAATTTGTAATCCTATAATTAATCTCAAGTTACTAGATATCCTCAGTATAACCAATTCAAACATTTATATAGAATTTTTTTTTTTCATGCAAAGTAATAACCTAATAAAATTTTTTTATTGCAATTTGAACAAAATTTTTAATGAAACTTTTTAATAGTAAAAAAACAATTACAGAGAAGAGATAAAAGTAAAAACAATGATGCTCTTATGCGCACAAGATTCTAAGTTTTTCAGGTATTATCATGCCTGTAGAATTACAGGGCCAGCCTGTTTTACCCTTTTTTTTGGGGGGGGGGGGTTTGCATTTGAACTTTTTAGATACGGCAACAGAAGATTTCTTTTTTTTTTTTAACATGGAAAGGCAAGCCGAAGCTTGAGGAAAATAACGCCTTAAAAGGCTACACAAACGAACAACAGAATAGTCATGTTAACATCTTGTCTTCCAGGAATATTCCTTTGCAACCGTTAGGCACCTCCCAAGAGAGAATCATTTCTGTCAATCCTGTGTGGCCCTGTCTTGCCATAGAAGATTTCTAAAGTAGTGCATAAAAGACATATATGTATGTACGTACGTAAGTTTATTTCTACACTTTCTACAATACGATCCATTAAACAAAATACGATTCGCTGTTGGATAAGTACGTTGCCTTATTGTTTGGGAGAGAACAAAAGATGGTGTCCCATGTGCATAACGAAATAATGGGTCCGTAGATGAATCAAAACCTATATTCTCATGCAAAAATTGCATTGAAAGAAACTATTCAGCCTAATCATTGGCCTCAAGTGATCAGTCAAATAGATCTTCTCCGTTTATGCAAAGAAGGTGACCTTTTGATCTCGTAGCTGCTCCTGCGTTTACGTGTTCTGCCCTGTTGTACTGGAGATCCCTCAGGGGTTCTGTAGCAGAAATAAGCAAATTCAATGCGGTAATTTTAGATATTAGCTCTTTCAAACAGATCATCCACACTAATTATAATAACTGAGCAAAGAATCACTACTGTTTATTATTTCAGTTTTATATGTTTCTCATCAGTCCCATTTGCCAGCAAATTAGATTTCACCAAGTTTACAGAGAATATGAAAGCATAAGAAAGAAGACACTGAATCAGGCCTTCGGTGATCCTAAAAAATGGAGTAACGTAAGAGAATGCCGTAATTATAATTCCACATTTTCAACGAAGCCATCAGTGAAAGGAGAAGACAACAAATTCCAGAATGACCGTGACTCCCCAAACTTTGCAAAACAAAACAAAGCGATTACCACAACCAAATCAGATGCCAACCTTATGGTGATTTAATGAAGAATCAACATTAAATTTAAGGCAAATTATCAATTCTTCAAACAGGGAACTTATCAGTAATCTTTTCAGCAAACAGTTCGCAAACATTATACATCAGCCTCGAGTCATAAAACACAATTTACAAGTGAATTCATGCTCTGCAATCTGTGAACCTATCATCTTTATTATTTCATTTACTCTGGGGTTCAATATTTGATGAAACAGCTATAACCCTATAACTACTTGAAATGCTTAATTGTGTTAATTACTTTCTCATCACATGGCCTACAGAGCAAACAAACCTGCGGGGCTCATGCCTATAGCCTGGAGTAATTCCGATATGCTCAAGGCGGCAACGAATCCTCCATCTTCCTCTGACCTCTGGACAGTCTCGAGCTAAATGACCAGATTTACCACACCTGTAACATCTACTGTCGGGATTATGATGTTTTACATGCCAACCATTTCTACCTGTATGGCGTTCAACATTCGTATCAATCTTGAGACAAATTCTAAATGAGGATAGAGTAAAGAAGAAACAAGTATGAATTTACTACGACAAAAGAAAAATGCCATAACGTATGCACAGTAATAACTGATATATTGAGTACTGACCGTTCAAATCATGAACTGCATTAACTGCATCCCTCAGGTCTCGAAACCTTACAATAGCGTAGAATGTCCGTCGGCTTTTAGTTTCAGAAACCCAGTGGGAACTGCATTGAAGGTATCAATTAGTCAAACATTAGCAGAATTAAGTGCCTCAGAAAGATGCAGAGTTCAACGCCGGATAGAGCAGTATATCAACAACTCGGCAGATAGAGAAAAACGCAAATGACAATAATAGCAGAATGGTGGAATTATGATGTTTAATTAAATCTTTCCTTCACAAACACGCAAATATAGTAATCGAATTATAGAAAGAATTAAAAAAATCTGTCCAAGAAACTTGGTTTCTTTGGCAAGAATGTGCAAAGAAAAGTAAAATCTAACTGGATTACCTCCTATAAGAAGGATACAGACGCATTTCATTCGGAAGATCCAAATCAGTAAAACCCAAATTCCCAACGTACACTTCGGCATACATTGTCGAGAACCAGCATCAACCTACTGAAGAGATGGCGAAAATAAGAACCAAAACGTCCGATCAGATAGCGAGAATTCGCAGAACTTAAACAATGGAAGGGAAGCAAATGGTTCGAGGAATCTCAGAGATTGCTTTGCGTATTTTGAAAACTTTGAGAGAGAAAGAAAGCGAGGCCTAATATACTCAAGACTGGTAACTCGCAAAGCTTTTTGTTGGCGCGCTTTAATAGTTTCTTTACATTCATTTTGAAATTAATATTAAAAATAAATCATTTATAAATAAAATTAGATTAAAACAACCATTTTTTTGGGCCAAGAAGATTAAATTAACCTTTTTTGGCCAAGAAGATTAAATTAACTTTAATCATCTCTATTTAATACTACCTCCGATTCTATTTATAAGAGCTAGTTAACTAATTTGAGAAAATTAAAGAAAGAAATTAAGTTAGTCATTTATAATAAATAAATACTATCTTTCCTAAAATATGTTTACTAATCAAGTGTATTGGCTAAAACTATTATTATTAGAAAGACTATCTTGGAAAAAAATATATAAATATGAGAGACAAAGTGAATTGGAGTATTATATTTAGGACCAAAATAAAAGTCAAACGAGGTCTTATATTAAAGATCGGAGGTAGTATATTTTTGCTTTGAAGCATGTTATTCAACTTCTCTAGCAATTGACATTCAGTTTTTATTTAGGTTCTGTTAATCATTTAGTTTATTTCAAAATATTAACATTGGCACTTCGTAATCCGTAAAAGCACTTCTGAAACCATGGTTTGGTTTCTATCCAAACACCCCCTTAATAAGAGATCCCCAAAACTTTTAATTAAGTCCGTGCAGATAATCACAAACTATCAATTTTATATTCCTTAAATTTTATTTTATTATACTTTTTCTCAATTTTTTATTTGATATCTATACCTTTTTTCTTAATTAATTTTACTTTATTAATACAATTATTCATTGAATCTCGATTCTGTTAGTACTTAGTACCGGTAATTCAACTGTAGTTAACGATGCTGACATACCAAACTTAAATAATTTAAAACATATAAACAGCAAATTAAAAATTGATAACACACGCGCACACACACTTACGCGATAGTTTTCTTCCCTTCATTCAAGCACAGAAACATTGCACCGAATCTTTTATTAGAAAGGCCAGTGAGGGAAGCAGTGAGCAAATTAGTATCTTCTGGATTTCCTCTCTCTATTGCAGAGCCACTTTTGTAAAAATCTCATTGACTCTATCCTTGGAGATAAAGGTTGAAGGGTCACTTGTAGCACTACTGTACTGGAAATTAAAGGGCTCCTGGCTCTGAGGTGGACCATCACGGTTCAATTTGTTCAAAAAGAATGCAACCAAACTGCTGATGGGCTAGCAAGTTACAACTACTGTACCTCTTGACATTGCTCCTCCTCAACACATGAGGGCACTGATAGATAAAGAGGCTTTGGGATCTCAATCCCTATTGGTCTAATTTGTTTTCAGCTACTATCTTTTGTGCCCAAAAAAAAATCTTGGAGTAAAATACGGTCTGACCATCCTTTTATTTTGTTTTAATTATAAAAACTTTAAAGATACTTTTTAATCCAAACCATTAAGTCTGTTAAGACTTTTTTAAAAAAAAATTATAAAAATATATTTTTAATGAAAATCTATATTTTAACCTGTAGGACCCGTTTAGATTGATAGTGGAAAAAATAATTTATTTTTATTTTAGTTTTAAAAAAGTTAAATTAGGTAATATGATTTATATTTCGATAGACTTTTTGTAAATAAGTCAGTTTCTAAAAGTGAAATTATTTGTGTTATTATTGAAAAAGTAAATTTAGTTGTAAAATGAACAAAAATTATATGAATTTTATTAAATAATATATATAATTTATTCTCTCTCATATGGTATACTCTCTAGTTACATTTTTCAATACATTTTTTTTTATCATTTATTATAAGGACATATATTTGAAATCAAAAACATATTTATAACATATTTATTACTTTCAATTAATTCTATCTAATTCTATGTTATTTGTAAATTAATTATTTGAAACTTATAATAAGAACCGGAAGAACTAGTAAATTTCTTAAAGATAAAATTCAGCTCCTTTTTTAACTTCTTCTCTCTTCACTTTTCAAATGTCATAAACTTATAGCTTATTATGACTTTTTATACAAAAGTTAATTTGTGCTATCGTCAATCTAAACACTACAATTACAGCTCAATCGTTCTTAAACTCCATAAACAGCTTACAAGTCACCGCCAACCCAAACAGAGCATCCCAAATCCCAAATCTGTTTTTAATACTCGTTTGCAAACCTCAAGAGAAAAACAATGGCTACAGCCATGAAGTGGAGTGCAGGTGCAGCGATAAAGAATGGTGACACCAAAGAGGTACGAAGCTCCCCCCTCCCCCCCAAAAACAACAAAAAACCAAAAAAAAAAAAAAAAAGAAAATTCAGATGCCGTTATAACATTGTTTCGCGGTTTCCATCCTTAAAACTATGGAAAAGAAATTGTTTTCTCATCTATGGCTAAAATGGCCAACACAATAGAAATTTCATTAACTACTATCTCATATTCTTAATATAATATCTTGCTTGACTTTTAATTTAATTCTAAATATAAAATCCCAATTCACTTTGTTTCTCATAATTATTCATTTTTTCCAACGTAATCCTTATAGTAGTTATATATATTTAGGGTGTGTTTGGATTGACAGTAAAAAAACTGACTTTTATTCTATTTGACTTTTATAAACGTAAATTAAAATAGAAGTTAGTGTAATATAATTTATGTAAATTAAAAAGTTAAAACTTGTTTAAATGATTAATAAAAAAGGTTTAAATATAAAATAACTGAAAAGGATATAAATTTATTATAGTGAAATAATTTTAGAAGAAATATTAAAATGAAAAATATAAAAAATAAACATAGTTAATTTATTATGAGAAAAATTTTGAAAATAATAAAATACTAAAAATTTTCAATACTTGAGTTTTATTAAGCACATGTATTCATATATATTATATGTATATAATTTGACAAATTTAAGACACATTAAAATATAAAAAAAAGAATTATTTATTTATTATTAGAAACATTATAAATATTAAAAAACAATTGGGTTTGTAGCGGACTCTCATTAAATTTTATTAGTTTTTTTTTCCTTGTAAATATCAAATTGTTGGGGTTTTTTAAAGAGAAATTCTATCTTTTTATTTTTTATAGAGCAAAGACGAATCCCATTTTATCTTTTTCCCTCTTGTACATCGTCTCTATAGAAATGTGCTTTTTCTCTAAAAGTAACATAAAATAGTTTTCACTATCCCACACAGGGAGTGTTTAGCAATATGATGAAACCATGGTTTGGGTCTCAAATTTGCCAAACAGGGAGAAAAATTAACAAAACACAGTTTCAGGCCAAAACCATGGTTTCAGTATAATTGAGGGGGTGTTTGGGAATGCTTAAAAGTGCTTCTAAGAAGCACTTTTTCACAAAACGAAACAAATTTCTCTACATATTTACTTTGTAAACCGTAAAAGCACTTTTAAAATCATGGTTTGGTTTACATCTAAACACCCTCTGAATCCATTTTGCTTCTGGCTTAAATTAGAGAGTATGATTGTGCCTGTCAGAGTAGATCTCAACGATAATATGACTTTAACACATCTCAATTATTTTTTTTATAAACATATTTAATCTTATATTTTATAAATATATACACATATTAATTAATTATTAATTATATTATCTTATGTATTATTAATTATGTTGGTAAAAAAATATTATTAACGATTTTATTCCTTCAAATTAAAATGTATCATAAAATTTATCTTTTATGTAATTATTATATTAACTTATGTTTTTTTTAGTAATTTGTACATATAAAAAGTGCTTCTAATAATAATTATCTAAACACTCTCACTTCTCAGAATCACTTTTTCACAAAATTTATTTTCCTAAAAATCTATTCTCTAGAAACTATTCTCCAAATCATGATTTAATTTTATCCAAACAGTCCCACTGCAAAACTAAAAAGTTCACTTGCACAAAAGCTATTCCAAACAAGTACTCCTCCCTAAATAACCCTGCACTGCACATTGCATAATGACCCAAGTGTGTTTTTCACTCCACATGAAGATCCAAACACTTTCTAAATATTTCATGAAATGATATTTAATTAGTAAGGATATTTTAAAAAAGATAATACCTATTTATTACAAACAACTAACTTAACTAATTTTTTTAATCTACTCAAATTAGTCAATTAGCTTCTATATTAAGAAATGGAGGTAGAATTAGTAATTAAAATAAATAATTTTTTTATAAATGTGACAAAAATTAAAATTATAAAATTTCATAATAACATGAAAATTAATAAATTTCATAACATATTAGAAAATTTGAAAATATATATTAGAATTATTTTTTATTGTATAAATGTTTTTTTTGGCAAATATAAATATTAAAATAGTTCTTATGTTAAATAAGGGTATTTTGGCCAAAAAAATTTAATGGTCAAATTCAATAATCAACTAACAGTACGATGGATAAAAATATAATTTCAAATATATAAGAAAAATTTGTGTAATATATATTTTAAGTTTAAGGAAGACTTATTCGAGTTTTCAAAATCAAGAGAAGGTATATGTAATTAAGACAAAAATGAAAAGTTGTTAGAGTATTCACTCTCATGATTAACCTAGTCTGATTTGATCTATGCGCACTCTTGACACCAACTAATCAAAACTCACTTGAAGCGAAATATTGGTTAAAATTTAAATGTGTAAAAGTTATAATTTTATTTGAAATATACCCTTACTTACGAAAATGTTGGGTGAGAAAAAGATAATGAATGAAAAAGATATGAGAGATAATGAGTGAGAAAAAAATATCTAATTAATTGAAATAAAACACAAAATATTGCTTATATATGAGACCAATCTTACATAAGATAATGTTTTTTGTAGGAAGTGCAAAAAAAAC